CTGCTACTTGAAAACATTTGGTTGGAAAATATTCTATAGTTTTAAATGGAAAACAGTTGAGATCCTTATTTCAAATTTTGATATCGCTGAAAAGATTAGCAACATAGGAAAAGAGGTCATGTTGGAGACTATGGCTATTTTGCTTATATTAAGAATTTTTTATGTTACATCTGGAGATTTAAGCAAATGTAAATGTTAATTATAAAACATCTATCACTAATTACAGAGTCCTGTGCATAAATATATTAATTAGTCTCTTAAAACTGATTACTGCTTTCCATTTGCAGCCTCCCATAGAGCAAAGAAATTTGTCATAATGAAGAGTTCTTACAAAAATTCACATTATGCAAATTGCCTTTGGAAATATTCTGAAATACAAACCTCCCAAAAACTTTGAGAAGATATTTTATCCACGTTATATGTAAGAAAACCAATTTAAGGAGCAATTGTGTTACTAAACCAAAGGACTTAAAGGAATAAACAGCAAAGAAATATGCCATTCAGCACATAATCCTGGCAGATGATTATCACCTCAACTGTCCTTGAAGAGTTACCAGGATGAGATGACTGTTTCCCGGGACAACTGAACTATTACCATATATCTCATAATCTCTCAGCATCTTACTGTGAATAGGTCCCTATATGCCTTCAAGTACTGAAATAGACCATATTCATTATTGCATTAATCCCTAAACATGTTTATGAGTTCCTCTACAGCGGCTTTCCTGATCTCATTCCTCCTTTCCCTGCTTTGAGTCACATCTTCTGTACAGATCCCAGAAATCCAGAAATACTGACATTAACAGTAGATAGACGCGTCAAAGCTCACTTTGGACGTAACGTACTCCTTCCTAACTCTACAATAGAATCGAGCATAATTTTTTCTGACTTTTCGGGTAACATTATTCTTATTCATGTTGTCCTAACCCAATCTTCAATTATTTTTTACTACAGAATCATTAAATTACAAAGTAAAAGTGAATGATGTGAATGAATTAATTAAGCAGAAGTTTTGAATGCACTTATTTACTCAGAATTTTCTAGTAACTGAAGATGCAAATTCTTCAACGACCTCAGGATAGAAATGCCTACAAGGCAGCCTATTTCATTTTCACAGTATTCTAGCCTTTAGAAAATGTTTCTTTGGGGTTTTTTTTGTTTGTTTGTTTTGTTTTTTTGAGACAGGATGTTACTCTGTCACTAAGGCTGGTGTGCAATGATGCAATCATGGCTCACTACAGTCTCAACCTCCCAGGCTCAAGCAATCCTCCCACCTCAGCCTCCTGAGTAGCTGGGACTACAGGTGTGCACCACCATGCCTGGCTAATCTTTATCTTGTAAAGTTTATTTGTCTTTAAATTCTACGCATTGGATCTTGTGGTCTTCAGTGGAAACACAAAGCAGAATCAACCTAACTTTCTGTCTCACACACACACACAAGAAGTCTTTGAAAAATGCCAAACTACATAAATGTAAAGCAAGCATGAAACAGAGTACAGAGATAAACTCAGGTACACGTAATAACAGAGAATAGAGGTGGCACCACCAACCAACGACAAAGGGTTTAGTAGGTGGTGCTAGAAGAACAGGCTTAGTGAAAAGGGATACTGGAGCACCACATTATATGTGACTAATGATATAGTCTACTATATTAGGTGTATATTAGATATATTAGACTAATGATCTAAGTGTGAAATGTAAAACTTTAAAAATAATAAATGAAAATTTAGCATGTCTTTGACATAAAAATAAGGTAGATCTCAAAAAAATAACAAATCATGGATTTAAAATCTTTGTTCAATTACGCACAATATGAGCAAAAATAAATGACAGTTTTGAAGATACTTGCTGTGTCTAAAAATGACAAGGAAATTTATTCAAGAATATACAATGAACTCCTACAAATCAATAAGAAAAAGACCAAAACCTCAATGGAAAAATGGGCAAAGGCTATAAAAGAGAAATCATGAAAGTTAACACATATTGGAAGAAATGAAAATGTTCAAACCTATTAGTAATCAGAGATATGCAAGTTAAAACAGCAAGATAAGATCACTTTTTACTTATCAAAAAAATTAAAAAGTGATGTAAAACAATATTGGCATATATCTGAAGACATATAAAATGCAATTTGGCAGTTTGGACTGGTGCAGACATCCTGGAGACTAATCTGATGATACTTAGTAAAATAAAATATGAACACATCATTTGTCTCAGTAATTCACATTTGGATTGATTCTCATAGTAGTCCATGGGGGACCATTTGATTGCACCAATGATGTGCTGAAGAGGCTGGGTGTGATTAAGTGTGCATCACTGAAACACTGAATGGACAAAATCTTGTGTATGAACCACATAAAGTACCAACGAACAATTAGAAATAATAGTCTAAATCTATGCATAATAGCATTAATGGGTCTTTCAACACAAATAGTACTGAGGGAGAAAAAGTTTTCAAAAGATATAACACCACTTACATAGATTTAAAATATATGATAAAAGGACCAACTTTCTTGGGACTTTGAAAACATGAATAGGGATGCTTGCATATGAAATAAAATACAATATGGCTGTAAATGAGAGATGAGAGTAGAAATCAAAAAGAAATAGAGCAAATAAATAAATTATTATGTTAGCAAAATATTAAAACACACAAAGACCCATGTGTGGACAAACAATAACACTGTATGAATAGGGGAGTATATTAAACCTCTACATTATAAGAAAAAAAAATTGGTGAAGACATCAATTGTGTACCTGCCCTAACTAAAGTTGATGTAAGGGCATATATTAATTTCCCTAAGATTTTGCTTGCTCAGCTTTTTGTTCTTTCTTGGTTTATTCCATTTTCCCCCCCTCAGAGTGTAAAGTTAGTTTGTTTATTTAAGATCTGTCTTCTTTGTCACTGTGAGCATTTATTGTTATAAAGTTTCCTCTTAGATCTGCCTTTGCTGCATCCCAACATTTTGATATGTTGTGCTTTTATTTTCATTTGTTTCAAGATATTTTAAGTTTTCCTTTCTTTTTTCTTTCTTGACCCATTTGTTGTTTATGATTATGTTATTTAGTTTTCATATATTTGTACATTTCCCAAAATTCCTTCCATTATTGATTTGTTGATTCAAACCATTTGGTTGGAAAAGATACTTAATATAATCACAATCTTCTTAAATATGTTAAGACTTGTTTTGAAACACATTTCAAAACAAAAAAAATAAACTTCTTAAGTGTCTTAATACTTGTTGTGAAGCATTTTCCTGTGTTTTGAGAAGAATTGTATTCTGCTGTTGTTGAATGAAATGTCCTATATATGTCTACTAGGTCCATTTGCTCTAAACTATAGTTCAGATCTAATGGTTACTTACTTATTTTCTGTCTGAATAATCTGTTCATTGATGAAAGTGAGGTATCAAAGCCCTTTACTATTATTGTATTATAAATCTCTCTTAAAGTATATAAATATTTGCTTTACATTTTTAGGTGAAATAAATCATTCAATACAAATTGAGCTGAAAGAAAATGGGTTTTAAAAAGATATACAATAATATAATTTAAAGATATAAAATATATAGTAGAATGGCCAACTTTGGGGGGACATCGAAAGATGAAATGGGGCATTTGCATTTAAAATAACAAATTACAAGGTGGCTCTAAGTGAGAGAAGGGTGTGAGAATGGAAATAAAAGAGAAACAGGAGAGAATAAATAAATTACTATGCTAGATGGAAAAGGTAAAGAGCCATGTGTGGACAAACAGCAATATCATATAAATAAGAGACTATTTTAAGCTCAGACCTCGACACTTGAAGAAAAAAATAGTAAAGTCATAAATTGCACCCCTGCCCAAATTCAAATTGCTGTAAGAACATATGGCCATTTATCTGAGATTTTGCTTTCTCTGTCGTTGGTCCTTTTCGCTTTTTCCCTAAGACCTACAAACTTTGGATGCACACAGTTGACTGATTAGCAGAACTGCTGACCACAAACTTTTTGTTTTTTATAGACTTTCAGCTAAGAGTGGTCTCAGTACACATGGGTCCAAACAAGAAAGAGCATCCCCTCCCAAATAAAAGAACGAAGTTTTTAAAGACCTGGTGTTGTTTATCATTTGTTTTTACTTGTGCAGATTGCTGGTCATACACAGCAATCACTTTAAAACAATGAGTATGAAAGTCACACAGCAGGAGTGGGGAGCAGGAAGATAAAAGAGCCCTGATCCTTGCTCACCATCTCGAGCACTTGTAGTAACCTTATCGGCTTAGTCCAAGATGTCTTGTTTTACATCTTCAAAAGCTGTTGACGTTAAATTAATAACGTTGACTCTGAATTACCTTGACTTAAGCTCAACCAAGACAGTCATTGCTGGACTAGTACATTAACCTGATAAGTAGATCCTCTGTCTCATTCTTGGCTGTATTCTAAATCTTTTTCATGCATGTTTTAAAATTTTGAGCTTAATATTTGTGTTCTCGTTTAAATAAAAATGTAAGGAATTAGCATACAAAGAATTAAGACATATGTAAAACATCAGTATTTGGATTCAACAAACAAAATAACATTTTCTTATTTTAAGTTGTGGTCACACAACTTTTGAGGAAGCCACAAACCCTCAAATTAAGGAGACATTAAGGACACCAGACTTCTTAGTGAGTAAGGCCTTTTATTAAGAGAATTCCATTTTCCTTCCATTTTAGTATGCACCAATAATATACTCCTCATGTTTCCGCAAATAGTCATGGCAGAAAAATGAAGAAAAAGATGTAAGAGTTTTACATTAGAAAATTAATTACACTAGAAATTTAATCAAAGTAAAATCTCCTCTCTTCAGTTATGTCATGAAACTACTCAGTCTCCATCCACTGCAAACAGCTTCTCTAATATGTATTGAGATAGACAAGCTACGATAGTCAATCTTTACTTAGATGTGAAAATAGGAGAGATTTCAAATGGACTTAATCTTGGAGAGGTCATTGCAAAGGCAAGGATGATCTGTAGTGATGATTAGCAGCAAGAGGAATAGCATCTTCTGTAGCAAAATGGTCGGTAGCCACAGCAGCCAGAGCTGTATCCACAGCCATAGCGAGAGCCTAATCCATAGCCACAGCCAGAGCCATATCCACAGCCATAGCCACAGCCATAGCCACAGCCGGAGCCGTATCCACAGCTATAGCCACAGCCGGAGCCGTATCCACAGCCACAGCCACAGCCTGTTCCATATCCAGAGCCATATCCACAGCCATAGCCACAGCCAGAGCCATACCCACAGCCATAGCCAGAGCCACAACCATATCCACAGCCAGAACCCCAGCCAGAGCTGTAGCCACAGCCCCCACAGGAGTTTCCGTAGTAGTTGCAACACATGGTGTCAGGAGGCGAGATTTCAGTGAAGGTCTAGGAGGATGTCTCTGAAGTGTGAGTGTCTTCTACTCTTCCAAGACCTTTATATACTTCCAGGAATGCATGGGTCATCCTCACATGGGCTCTATTTGCTCATTTTGTAATCATTTGCCTAAAATGATTCTGTGTACATTTATTTTCTTTGGAATTCATAATTTGCTTATAGCTTCCCTAGGAATATTTTAATGCCTGAAAAAAAAAAACACAAGTTTTAAACACACACACTCATACAACCATAATTTTATTTTCCATAGTTTCATGTCATGGCCATGATATCACACGACACCAAAATATGTTTGGCCTATAAATGTCTGTTTATCATTCAGCTCTTGTAAGGTCTTGGAAATCATCTATTAAATACGGAGTTCTACTCAATGCTCTTAACACCATTATCATCATTATCACCATCATCATCATTTCCTCTCATTCTTTCCTAATATCATGGTGTTCTTTCTTTTTATCATAGCTACTGAAAATTCCTAATCATGGTTTTTGACGAGGAATTCAGTATTTCTGCATGCTCCCTCTGCACCTTGAAACCCTCCTCTTCTCTCTGAAGAAAAGTTTGACCTTTCCCCCTTTTCTAAGTGTCTATGACCTTCTCTTCTTTCCTTGAAGGAAAAATTTTTGTTAAACTTCTGACAGGTCAGTTATGTAAGATGTATCATTTAAAATTTATAGTACAAACTTCTGAGTTTCCATTTAAAATGAGGGAATTTCCTTCGTTTACAAGGTTTTTGTCCTTGACGTCCAATTGTTAAATTCAGTTCTTACACTCAGGTTTGTTTGTGTTTAACGAACGAATTTAATAATTGGATGTCAACAACAATCGGGCTTCTCTGATGTCTGTGCTGTACATCAGTGCTTCCTACTAAAATGTAATCGATCAATAAGTCATACACCAGACAGGTGGAGTGGGTGTGGAATGGAGAGCTGTTGATCAAAGGGTCCAAAATTTCAGTTAGGTAAGAAGAATTAACTTTAGTGATTTATTACACAAAACAGTGACTATAATAGAGAGTAATACATTGTTAATTTCAAAATTACTGAAATAATCATTACCACAAAAATCATAAGTATGCAAGGTCATCACCTTTTTTTATTAGCTTAATTAAATTACTCACAGTGGTTTCCTGATTTTAGAATCGATTTTCTTTTCCAAACAAAATATCAATAATATTTACTCATAATATTTTTGTTGTATATCTTACATTATGACATTAACGATAGTTGGCCTTTCTGTGCAATTTCCTATTCTTTCTCACTCTTTGCTTGATATCTTTATTACCTTCATTGGAGAGATAGTTTCATAGGGATATGCATATGTTCAAACTCAAGAAATTATATACATTTAATAAGTACAGTTTTACATCAATTATATATTTCTCAAACTCATAAAATAAATACATAAAATAAAGATGATAATGAAATAGATAAATAATGTCAGCATTCACTGGGAAACAACAGGCAACCCTCTGGAGCACATGGTAAGCAAATAATGCACATCTGGAGATATGGGCTGGCAGAGGGTCTGAGAAGCTCTGGGCTGTGGGCAGACTATGGAAAGTAGCATTGATGAGTAGCCTATGTAGAGAATCTGAGTGTGTGGGTAGGAGCCCTGCAGGGACTCATGAGTAAACTGTCTTCAAGGTGCTAGTTTTCATGTAAACAGGGTCACATAAAGATTACTGCCAGGCTGAAGCTCAAGGTCCTTAAGGATCCAGCATATTCTGGACCTAAAAGTGTGATGGAGTCTCACCAGATAGCCTTAACTCACACTGCTAATACCTTCTCATCCCTCCTGTGCCACACCTGAGAATGTAGGAGCCCTGCTTCCTCCTGTAATGTCCCTGCTGCATCCTCTCCTGAGAAAGCTTGAAGCATGCTCACAGTGGAGATATCCCATCTGTCAGCACAGAGCACGTACTGAAGAATGAATTTGATGCTGAGGGTCCATAAATTGATAACAATTATAGTCTCTCCTCCACATTCCAGAAGCCCTGTAGTAGAAATAGCTTTCCCTAGGAAACAGATTGAGTAATTTCCTCACTGATCCATTTCCTGATTACATATCCATGAAAAATACCATCAACCTGTATGAACCTCATTTTCTGCAACTACCACAAGGAATTAAAACTAACCATATGTACTTTAACAATGTGTCGAGGCATATATGAAATACAAGGGAGGTAGTAGGGATCCTGGTATATAGTGGAGACAATACTTTCTCTTTTTTTCCATATCCTTTATCCAAATATAAACATTCCCAAATAATAACTTTTCAAATTTCTGCATGTATTTACATTTACACCTTTTTTATACTAAAATTTTAAGATTCACTTTCACGTCGCTATGGTTTCGAGTTATATGTGGCATATATATTGTATATACATGCATATATTTATTTGGTTTTCTGTATTCATGAGTTCTACAACCATGATTCAATAAGCTATAGATTTGATAAACTATAGATCACAATTATTTGGATAAAAATCAATAATAAAAATGACAAAATCAATACAACTACTTACATAACATTAACACCGTGTACAGTATCATAAGTGGGCCTCTTTTTCTTATTCTTGATCTTACAGGAAAAGCTTTCAGTTTTTTACTGTTGAGTGTTTTGTTAACTATGGGCTTACTGAATATGGCCTCCATTGTGCTGAGGTACTTTCCTTGTACATCTCAATTTTTGAGATTTTTTAATTACAAGAGGATGTTAAATATTTTGAATGCTTTTTCTGCATCATTCACATGATCATACAGTTTTTGTTCCTTACTTCATTAAAGTGGTATATCGTGTTTATTGACTTGAGTATGCTCAAGATTCTTGCATTTCAGAAATACATGACCATGATAAATGAATGTTTTAATGTGCTGCTTATTTCAGTTTGCTCATGTTTTGTTGAGAATTGTAGCACCTATGTTTGTCAGGAATACTGGCCTATAATTCTTTTTATTATAGTGTTCTTCTCTGGCTTTAGTATAAGGGCAATGCTGGCCTCACAAAATAAATATCAATATATATCCTTATCTTCAGCTTTATCGAGGAGTTTGAAAAGATGATATTCATTCTTAAAATGTTTGGTAGGATTCAATATTGAAGTCATCAATTCGTGGGCATTCCTATGATGGCCATTTTATCACTAATTCAATCTCCTTACTTGTAATTGGCATGTTCATGTTGTTTATATCTTCAAAATTTACTTTGAGTACTTGTACATATTGATAAAGTTATCCATTTTTTCTAAGTTATCCAATTTGCTGGAATATAATTACACTTAGTTACCTCCACAATTATTTATATTTATGTAGTGTCAATTATAATAATTCTTTCATTTCTCATTTTATTTACTCGAATCTTCTCTTTTTTCTTCTTAGTCCAGCTAACAATTTATTAATCTTGTAAGCTTTTCAAAAACAAACTCTTAGTTTTATTAATTTTTTTCTGTTGATTTCTAGTTTTTTTAAGATTTCTGCTGTGATTATTTTTATTTATTCATTTATTTCTTTCATTAATTTTGGACATTATTTGTTCTATTTGTTCCTGAGGTGTAAAGCTAGGTTTTTTGTTGTTTGTTTATTCATTTCTTTGTTTCCTTTCCTTGAGATTTCTCTTAGTTAATGGGGTCATTTATTGCTACAAAATTCCATCTTAGTTCTGCTTTCTGCTGCATTCCAAAATATTGGTATGTTGTGATTTTATTTTCATTTGTTTCAAAATACTTTTAATTTCTCTCATTTTTAGAATGATATTTTTAGTTTCTATATATTTTCCAATTTTCCTAAATTTATCCAACTTTTGACTTGTGGTTTCATATCATTGTGACTGAAAATGATACTTGGTAAGATCACAATCTTCTTAAATAAGTTAAGACTATTTGTGGCCTATTATGTGATGTGTCTTAGAAAACGTTTCCCATGCTTAGAGAATAATTGTCTTCTGCTGCTGTTGGATGAGATGTTCTTTATATGTCTGTTAGGACCATTTGCCTAATGTCTAGTTCACATGTAATGGTTACTTATCTATTTACTGTATGGATGATCTGTCCATTGCTACAAGTTAGGTATTGTGTCCTCTGCATCCTCTACTATTATTATACTCTCTCTTTCTCTCTCTCTCTCTCTCTCTCTCTCTCTCTCTCTCTCTCTCTCTCTTTCTCTTTGTATGTGTGTCTCTCTCTTTAGATAGATATTTATTTAATATATATTTAATACATAGTTAATATATTTAATATATATTTAGCTGCTCTCATGTCAGGTGCATGTGTACTTATAATTGTTATATCCTTTTAATGGATTAATCCACACATTATTACATAATGACCTTCTTTGTCTTGTTTTAGTTTTCATGTGAAATCTATTTTACCTGACATAAATATATCTACATCTGGTCTTTTATGATTTCAATTTGTGTGTGCAATACCTTTTTCCATCCCTACACTTTCAATGTGTGTGTGTCAGTAAATGTAAATAACCTTTAGTTGAGTCCTTTTATATATATATATATTTACATATTCACCCACATTGTCTTCTGACTGAGGAATTTATTTTCTTTCAAAACAATCCCTGATACCTACATACCTACAGAATTGCTATCAGAATTTTCCTGTTTTTTGGATGTTTTAATGGATCATTTTATTCCTTTCCCCTCTCTTGCTGTCCTTCATTGTAGTTAGACAATTCTTCCTAGTGGTATATGAATTTCACAGTGAGTAGTTCCTGATATCTTTTCAACAACTGAAATAGTTCCTGCACATTATTGTAGTAATATCTGACCACTCTAACGGGTTTCTCTGCATAGACATTACTAATCTGGTGTCTTTCTTTCTCTTCCTCTGGAAATCATTGTTCCCGGAAATCCGTTAATACTGGCACTAACAGCAGATTGGATACCTCAAAGCTTACCTGAAACCTGACACTCTTTATTCTAACTCTGTAATAAAATGATCATTATTCTT